GAGAGGGAAGAGAGAGAGAGAAAAAAAAAGAAGAGTGACAGATGAGAGGGGCATGGAAGGAGGAGGAGAGATGGAGGGAGGTAAAACAAGTAAAACCCTGAAGAGAGAGTGTGAGAGGGAGAGGGGGTAGAGGAAGGGAACGAGAGTGAAGGATGGAAGAATGGAGATAGAGAAAAGAAAGGGGGAGGAAGAGAGAGAGAGAGAGAAGAGGGAACAGGTGGAACAGTTTTTAAAACTTAGTCCAAATGTGACAACGTACAATTCTCCCTCTGTGTGTAGAGTATATATGCTCTCCCTCTCTCCTTCTCTACTTCCTCCCCCTCTCTCCTCCTCTCCTTCTACTCTCTCTCTATCTGTTCTCCTTCGCCTCTTCTCTTTCTCTCTCTGTTTATAAGTGTGGAGTTAGTAGTGGTCTCTCCCTCTATTCTCCTCCTCTTTCTCCTCCCTCTCTCCCACTCTGTCCTCTCCTCTTCTCCTCCTCCCTCTCTCTCTCCTTCTACTCTCTCTCTATTTGACTAGTTCTCCTTCCCTCTTCTCTTTCTCTCTGTGTTTATAAGTGTGGAGTTAGTACTGGTCTCTCCCTCTATTCTCCTCCTCTCCCCCTCTCTCTTTTCTCCTCCCTCTCTCCCACTCTGTCCTTTCCCCTTCTCCTCCTCCCACTTGCTCTCCTCTACCTCTCTCTCCTCTCTCTCTCGCTCTCCGTCTGTAGGTGTGGAGTTAGCAGTGGTCTCTCCTCCCTCTCTCCTCCTCTCCCTCTCCTCTTTTCCTCTCCTCCTCTCCATCTGTACATAGGTGTGGAGTTAGTAGTGGTCTCTCTCTCTCTCCTCCCCCTCTCCTCTCTCCTCTCTCTCTCTCTCTCCATCTGTACAGAGGTGTGGAGTTAGTAGTGGCCTCTTTTCGCCTCTCTTTCTCTCTCTCTCTCTTTCCGTCTGTACATAAGTGTGGAGTTAGCACTGTCTGTCTTCTTCTCCTCTCCTCTCTCTCTCTCTCCTCTCTCTCTCTCTCTCCGTCTGTACAGAGGTGTGGAGTTAGTAGTGGGCTCTCTCTCTCTCTCCTCCCCCTCTCCTCTCCTCTCTCTCTCTCTCCGTCTGTACAGAGGTGTGGAGTTAGTAGTGGTCTCTCTCTCTCTCTCCTCTCTCTCTCTCTCTCTCTCTCTCCGTCTGTACAGAGGTGTGGAGTTAGCGGTGGTGATAATGAAGCTGGCCCGAGGCAGAGCCCGAGGCGTCTGGACACAAACCAAAGATTAAAGGCCCTCATTCCCTTTAAAACCTGTCTGCTGTGTACGAGAGAGAAGAGAGGGAAGAGAGGGAAGAGAGGGAGGAGAGGGAGGAGAGGGAGGAGAGAGAAGAGAGGGAAGAGAGGGAGGAGAGAGAAGAGAGGGAAGAGAGGGAAGAGAGGGAGGAGAGGGAGGAGAGGGAGGAGAGGGAGGAGAGGGAGAGAGGGAGGAGAGGGAGGAGAGAGAGGAGAGACCTGTCTGCTGTGTACGAGAGAGAAGAGAGGGAAGAGAGGGAGGAGAGGGAAGAGAGGGAGGAGAGGGAGGAGAGGGAAGAGAGAGAGGAGGAGAGAGAGAGAGAGAAAGGAGAGAGAGAGAGAGGGAGGAGAGAGGGAAGAGAGGGAGGAGAGAGAGAAGAGAAAGGAGAGACCTGTCTGCTGTGTACGAGAGAGAGAGAGAGAGGGAGGAGAGAGAAGGAGAGGGAGGAGAGGGAGGAGAGGGAAGAGAGGAGGAGATAGAGAAGAGAAAGGAGAGAGAAGAGAGAGAGAGGAGAGGGAAGAGAGAGAGAGAGGAGAGACCTGTCTGCTGTGTACGAGAGAGAAGAGAGGGAAGAGAGGGAAGAGAGGGAGGAGAGGGAGGAGAGGGAAGAGGAGGGAGAGGAGAGAGAAGAGAGGGAAGAGAGGGAGGAGATCGAGGAGAGGGAGAGAGAGGGAGAGAGGGAGGAGAGAGAGAGAGAGAGAGACCTGTCTGCTGTGTACGAGAGAGAAGAGAGGGGAGGGAGAGAGGGAGGAGAGAGAAGAGAGGGAAAGAGAGGGAGGAGAGAGAAGAGAGGGAGGAGAGAGAAGAGAGGGGAGGAAATGGAGGAGAGAGGAGAGAGAGAAGAGGAGGGGAGAGATCTGTCTGCTGTGTACGAGAGAGAAGAGAGAGAGACCTGTGTGCTGTGAGAAAGAAAGTAAGAAAGAGAGGAGAAGGGGGGGGGAAGAGAGAGAGGGAGAGGGAGAGAGACCTGTCTGCTGTGTATGAGAGAGAGAAGAGAGAAGGAGAGGAGAGGGGGAGAGAGGAGAGGAAGAGAGACTTGTCTGAGGTGTACAAGAGAAGAAGAAAATAAGAAAGAGGAGAAACCTTTCTGCCAATATAAGAGAGGGGAGAGAGGGAAGAAGGGAAGAGAGGGAGAGGGAAAAAGAGAGCGGGTGGAGAAGAGGGGAGAAACATGTCTATCAATATAACGGAGGGTAGAAAGGTAGAAGGAAAGAGAGAAGAAAGGGAGAGGAGAGAGAGAGAGACCTGTCTGCTAATGTCACAAAGGGAAGTAAAGGAGGAGGGTGAAAGAGGAGAGGAAAGGAGAGAGAGAGAGGGAAGAGGGAGAAGAGTGAGAGGAGAGGAGAGGAAAGGAGAGAGAGAGGGAAGAAGGAGAAGAGTGAGAGGGAGGAGTGAGGGAGAGATTGAAGAAAGGAGGAGAGGAGAGAGAGGGAGGAGGAGAGAGGGAGAGAGAGGAAGAGAGGGGAGAGAAGAGGGGAGAACATGAATGTAACAGAGGAGAGAGGGAGAGGAAAGAGAGGATAGGAGAGGAGAGAGACATACATAACAGAGGGGAGAGGTGAGGGAGAGAGAGAAGAGGGGAGGAGAGGAGGAGGAGAGAAAGAGGGAGGGAGAGAGAGAGGGAGGAGGAGAAGAGATAAACCTGTTGGCCAGTGTAACAGAGGGAAAGAGCGGCTACTTTTTTATCTTTCGTTCAAAACAGATCGGCAAATCCAGGACTGAAATGATCCAAACGATTCTTGGAAAGCTGTATGGAGTTTAAAAACCTAATGGAGCACTTCCTGTATTACCACATGACATCACAAGGTGGAACAAGGAAAAACACAAAGAACTCAGTCTAAACACGCATGATTTGTGTGTTAAACATTATAACAGAGAAGAAAATGGTTTAATCTGGGCTCTTTAATGGACAACATAGAAAATGAAAATGAAGTTTGATGGATCCTCGTGTCGAACTTTTGGAGACTAAATGTCAAATGTTAAAGACTTGACTTAGATTTGAGTGTTTAGGCGGTGATTAGTCTTTCATCAGAGTGATTTCAAACGTCGAAAATCCCCCTTTTCCTCCTGAAAACCATCGGATCGAGCTAAAAACTGGAATTAGGCCGATGTGAAACTGCAGGGAGCGATTGAGTCAGAAAATCACTGAAACACGTTCGGAAAATTACAGGTTTAAATCGACAAATTAAAAGTTAAAAATCGACGGCACTTTGTAGAGACTTTGGTTTCTTAATGTGTCTGGGAAATATGATCAGGACTAAACCAGGACTAAACCAGGACTAAACTAGGACTAAACTAGGACTAAACCAGGACTAAACCAGGACTAAACTAGGACTAAACCAGGACTAAACTAGGTCTAAACCAGGACTAAACTAGGACTAAACCAGGACTAAACTAGGACTAAACCAGGACTAAACTAGGTCTAAACCAGGACTAAACTAGGACTAAACCAGGACTAAACTAAGACTAAACCAGGTCTAAACCAGGACTAAACTAGGACTAAACCAGGACTAAACTAGGTCTAAACCAGGACTAAACCAGGACTAAACCAGGACTAAACCAGGACTAAACCAGGACTAAACCTAGGACTAAACACTAAACTAGGAGTAAACTAGGACTAAACCAGGACTAAACTAGGAGTAAACTAGGACTAAACCAGGACTAAAACCAGGACTAAAAGGACTAGGTCTAAACCAGGACTAATCTAGGACTAAACCAGGACTAAATTAGGACTAAACCAGGACTGAATCAAGGACTAAACCAGGACTAAACTAGGACTAAATCAGGACTAAACTAGGACTAAACCAGGACTAAACCAGGACTAAAAAGGACTAAACCAGGACTAAATCAGGACTAAACTAGGACTAAACCAGGACTAAACCAGGACTAAAAAAGGACTAAACCAGGACTAAACTAAGACTAAACCAGGACTAAACTAGGACTAAATCAGGACTAAACTAGGACTAAACCAGGACTAAAAAGGACTAAACCAGGACTAAATCAGGACTAAACTAGGACTAAACCAGGACTAAACCAGGACTGAATCAGAACTAAACCAGGACTAAACCAGAAATTAACGGGGACTAAACCAGGATTAAACCAGAACTAAACCAGAACTGAATCAGGAATGAATCAGGTCTTACAGGACTATTTATTTTTAAGTTCCATTTTATCGTACCCAAAGTCATATTTTAAGTATTAGTTTCACTCACAGAAGTTGTTCTCTGTTCATATATATTTTTTACACACAGAAATAATTTAAACTGCACGAGCATTTATCATTTAAAGGTTCTATATTACACAAAAATGATTCTGCTGATCTTTAAATCATGTTCTAATGTTGTTTGTTTCATTCACACTTGTTTGAGTAATCCTTTATTATTAGTCTGTCTCCAAAGCTCCAAATGCTCTATCCCACCTTGTGATGTCATGAAGTGCAAATTTTCAACAGCTCCTTTTACCTTTAGTTCAGTGGAGATTGGCAATTCTAGAGTTGAAATGATCCATATAATTCTAGTGAAGGTGTGTGGAGTTTAAAAACACAGTAGAAAACTCTATATCCTATATTACCACATGACATCACAAGGTGGAACAGATTATTTTGTTTTTGAGAGAAGAACTCAGGCTAAACATGCAGGGTTTGTGTGTTATGAAACAAAAACACAAGTCCAGGTCTGTTTGTGATGAGGAAACAACATGATGACATAGATCAGTGTAATTTGGGCCTTTTAAACACGACGGTACTCACAGTCGAGGTGACACTGTCTGATGCCCTCCACGTCTTCAGCGTGAATGAACTGATAACACCGTTTCCCCACAATGTCCCCGGGAGCCAGGTCCATGTAGTCACTGATCCTGAAAGAACAATAACAGCAGCAAAAAAGTTTCAAATGTGTTCAACTGTATAAAGCAAACAGGTCCACACAATTACTGATCCTAAAATAGCAATAACCAGAAATATACACTTTAAAATATGTTAAACTGTACAAAACACCAACATGAGAGGTCCAAGCAGTGACTGATCCTAAAAAAATAATAACAACAAATACACTTTAAAATATGTTAAGATGTATAAAACAAAAAGGTCCATGTAGTCACAGATCCTAAAAGAGAAATAAAATGAAATATATACATGGATATATATTAAGTCTTAATACACAGCAGCTTTGTCACAATTAAAACACTCTTTTCTTTACACAATAGGATGTGATTTTCAACATTAAATGGTAGTACTTTGTTTTCTTATATGTGTGTAATCCATCAGTGGTCCAGGTGGGTTCCATAGTGTCCATGAGCGTATACTCGTCTATGGCTACATTCAGACTGCAGGGATTAACGCTCAATTCCGATTTTTTTTGTGAAATCCGATGTTTTTGTGAGGTCGTTCACATTTCCAATTAAATGTGTCTTGTATGTGTCTCCAGTGTGAACATTAAACGGCCCAAAAGTGTCCCACATGTGACACTGGAGACACGACGACATCAACCACAGTGAGCGTCTGTGTTTATGGAAGTTGTCCAAACATGGATGCGAGTATTGAGCACCTGGAGATTTTAAAGTTCCTCTTGTACCGGAGTCAGAACATGAACAACTTACTTGTTTTAAGGAGGAGATTGAGAAGGAGAAGGACGAGGTTTTTGGTCGTGGTGTTTTGTGGGACAGCGACGTCCGTTGAAAGGAACGTGTGGATGTGGAGACGGAGCCAAGAGTGGTGAGTGGTGATGTGCTTCACTTCAGTGACATGGAGTTCATTAACAATTTTCTCCTACTTCAGCGCAGAATAGTGACGTTTGTGGCTTGTTGATAATGTGTAGGTGGATGAATGCACTTTGGCCGTTCAGACTGAAGTCACATGTCAAAAGACCAGATGTGTATCGGTTTTAGGAGCACATATCCAAGTGTCTTGGGTCACATTTGAAAAAATCGGATCTGTGTGGTCATTAAAAGATCAGATACAGGAACATAGGGGCCAAAAAATCAGATTTGGGTCACTTCTGTCTGCAGTGTGAACATAGTCTATGTGTCTCTTTAGGGGGACCAGATGAGATTGGCTGAAATTCAGGACCCGGGGGGTTAGGTTCAGAAATTTTGATGCATTCTAATTTGCTTTTATTTACAAACACACAAAAATCCCTTTAATTAATAAAACAATGAGTTAATAAATTAATAAATGATTGATGAATTAATAAGTTAATAAATGAGAGTGTACACATGCACATCAGTATCCCGGTTATGATCGGGTTTTTTGAGTATCCTGGTTTCTTCATGGTGCATATAAACACAGTAACCCGGTTTCAGTATCCCGGTTATGAGAAGCCGGGTTACTGTAGTTGGTATATTCTGATAGTACTGGGATACTGTGGCATGTAAACGCACTCAATGAGTTGCTTACATACAAAACTGAAGAAAGAACAAGATCTTGAATCTGGAGCATTCACACTAAAGACGAACAACTAAACATAGAGAGATAAACTACATGATGTACACTGCTGGTACTGCATCTCGCTGTCTCCCCTCTGCTCTCCACTCAGCTCCAAATGAGGCGGCTGCTGTGTACTGTCAGCCCGCGCCTTCAGTCACACGCTCTTCTCTGTTATGACAAAGAAGGCGACCGAGGCAAATGTACGCCTTGTGAACAGAGCGTCTAGAAGCCGCCAGGGGCTGCGTGCAGTCGACACAACCTTTCCATGAACAGTTTTTACTCTTAATCAGAAAATAACTCCTCAGTATTCTGTTCTGTTGAGTGTAATTTTCAAAACATTTAGAGCCAGATTCAGGATTTGGGACAACAGCTTAGATTTCAGGACTGTTCAAAATGTTTCAGGATATCTTGTCATCCTAGTGCTCTTATACTTGTTCTGATACAACTCAACATCATTCTAAAGCTATTCAGGAATAGTTCATTTCTGTCCTGTGAATGGGACTTTTTAGTACTGATATCTGCTCAAATGAATACTGTATTTTACTGACTATAAATTGCACTTTTTTCCTTGGTTTGGGTGTTTCCTGCCTTATACTCCTTTGTGATTTATATATTAACATTTTCAGACTGACAGCTGTGAGACGGCGCTCTAGGCTTGTGTATGAGTTTTCTGCGCATGTCTCCTGCAGAAAAAGCCACTGTTCTGCTGCAAGTAGTGAAATATGCAGCAGAAAATGGTAATCAAGGAGCAGAAAGAAAGTTTGGAGTGAGCGAGGAACTTGTGAGGGACTAGCCGAAAGCGGGAATGAACAACACAGTGAAGGCCATAACAAGTATAAAGTATATAAAGTGTCGTGAGTATACCACATTTAATGTTTAACCACTGACATCTGATATATGTGTTTAAAGAAACTGCTGTGTAGGTTGTGTCTTTTTAAGGAAATTCTGTACAGAGCAGCTGACAAGGGGACATCCTGGCTGGCACCAAACCTAAATAGATCCGGTCATTTCCATAAATGGAGAGGCTTCAGGGAGGATCCAAGGAGTGAACCTGATCAACATATCATGATGCATATATCTGTGAATGTATATACTGGGTTAAGGGACAGATGCAGGTGTTCACACTGCCTGAAGTAAGACCTGTGTAGAAAAGGCCATCAGGGACAGTGGTTTGACCCAGAGCTCTGTTTTAGAATTGTATTGTATAGAGAATACATTTTTGTGATTTCAACGGATCGATTCCAGTCATTATTTTCTACAACTGGATTACGCCAACAACAGCTTCACGGCAACTGGGAGGGGGCGACATGAAACTTTCCTGGAAGTCACTGGATGAAAAGGACTGGACATCAGTGACAACTGAAGTTGCGTGGAGTTGCTTAGAAGTGACACAGACGATGAAGAATTCCATGAATTCAATGGATTTAGTGATTTGGAGTGAGATGGAGAGTTTGGTAAACTTAATCTGTTCTGTTGTTTATGCTGTAGTTATCTGAAGAATTGTTAATATGTTACTTTAACATATTAACAATTATTCAACCTTTGTTCTATTGTTATTATTATAACTTGCCTTTCATAAAATATAATTTCATAAATGTCGGTTCCTGGTCTCTGATTTTATAAAATGTATTCCCCCAAAAAGTGCAACTTATATATGTTTTTTTCTTCTTCATTATGGATTTTTTTGGTTGGTGCGACTTATAGTCCGAAAAATACATACCGTATTTTCCAGGCTACTAGTCGCTCTGGATTATAAGACCCACTGTCATTAAATGGTCTATTTTTTTTACTTTTTTCACAAATAAACCGCACTGGACTTTAAATGAAACCCAACAGTGTGATGGGTGAGTGGTTTTGTTTGTTTGTTCGTTCACAGTGACTCTGGGCTTTGTTCAGTTGTGGCGTGTAGGGAGGGTGTGTCTGGGACCAACGGATTGTCGGCGTGTTCGCAGTGACTCAGTTGTTCAGTTGTGTCTAGAAGTGGCACATTGCACTCGCTTTTTCGGTTCGTTCCTCCGTTCCGTTCCTCGTCGGCGTGGAGTGATGAGTGTGTCTGTGGGTGTGTTTCTCTGTGTGGTCTCTGTCTGCTCCATGTGTGTTTGTGTGTTCTGTGTGTGTTGTGGCTTTGTAGTTTACTGAAGTCGTACTGGGACACCTGAGTGGATTTGTGTATGGGGCGCTCTGGATTGCGGGGCGCGCGGTCGTTTCTTGATGTGGTTAGAGGTTTAAGAGCTCGTCTAATAGCCCGGAAAATACAACATCTAGCTCTGATACTAGTTTTAGTGTGAGATTTTGTAGACCTGGTTTAGACCTGGTTTAGTTCTTCTTACACTCAGGCCTCACAGAGTCACGTGGGCCCTTCTTGAAACTGTCTTTAGACTCATTTAACCCTTAAACCGGTTTTTAATAGTGAAATCTAAACTCTCTCTCTCATAACTCTCTCAGACCTCTATCATAACTCTATCAGATCCTTTTTTCCATTCACACATCACTCTGAGTCTCTTTAATTTCCCCTCGCTCTCTGCAGGTACACCTCGTTCCCTCCTCCTCCTCTTTCACTGCTCATCCTCTCCTCCTCCTCTGTTCTTTTCTTTCACAAATGTCTCTGTAATTTGCCTTTCTTCTCTACTCCTCTATGTCTCTCTTTCTCCTCCTCTTCAGTCTCTCCTTCCTATTCTCCCCCTCCTCCTTCTCTTCCTCCTATCACTCTACCCCCTGTTCTTCTTTTCTCCTCCTCTTCTTTCTCCTCTTCCCCCCTCCCCCTCTCCTCCTCCTCCCTGATACAAATCTCTCTTCTCGGCGGTTAACTCAAACGCCTGGTATCTCGTGGCGACCTCGCTCGGATCTGTCTCTTTCCGATTCAAATCTCACAGATCGGGTCAAAACGTTTCATGAATTTTTACCTCCCGGAATCAGCCCCAGAATCCGTCATTTCAAACTCATTTCCACAAAAGACGTTTGAATGAATCCATTTTCCCGTCTGTGCCAAATCCCAGAATAATGGAACGCTGATATAACTGCAGTTTACCCATTACACAGTTAAAGGGACATTTACACAGTGTACAAGCAGGACTGAAGCGGAACTAAACCAGGACTCAACCAGGACTCAACCAGGACTGAACCAGGACTAAATCAGGAAGTAAACTAGGTCTGAACCACATCTAAACAGGACTTGACTTTGACAAAAATTTGGATGAAACAATCTAAAATAATCTGAATAATTCTGAGTCATTTTCACAACTGCAGTTTGAGCGAGGTGCTTCTGAATCTGAGACGAGTCTGAGAGGAACACGACTCAAAGACTCTTAGACTGTAAAAGTTTGTTATAAAAAATTTATCAGAACTCAAGATGTGAATTGGAAATGTGTAAAATGCATTAGTCCAAATCAGGATTAAACCAGGACTTAAGAGGGACTACTGCAGAACTAAACCAAGACTAAACCAGGACTAAACCAAGACTAAACCAAGACTAAACCAGGACTAAACCAGGACTAAACCAGGACTAAACCAGGACTAAACCAAGACTAAACCAGAACTAATCCAGGTCTGTATCTTGCCTGTTTTCGCAGTAGACGATCTTGAGGTCCATGTTGACTCTGGTCACAAACATTTGGCAGTCTATCCTCACTTCGTTGATGGTGGGTGGGGGCAGGGCGTGTGCCACCACCACCATGCCCATGACCTGAGCGGGCACTGCCCGCGAGTGAGTGAGCGCCATGCGGATCCGGAGACGCCCCGTCACATGGATCACCTGAGAAAATACAGACAGCACAGAGAGAAGAGGTGAACTCTACACATGTGTGTGTTATTCTCTCTACATACAGCAGCTCTACACATGTGTGTGTTATTCTCTCTACATACAGCAGCTCTACATGTGTGTGTGTTATTCTCTCTACATACAGCAGCTCTACACATGTGTGTGTGTTATTCTCTCTACATACAGCAGCTCTACACATGCAGCTCTACACTGTGTGTGTTATGCAGCTCTACATGTGTGTGTGTCGTCTACATACAGCAGTGTGTTATTCACATACAGCTCTACATGTGTGTGTTATTCTCTGCAGCTCTACACATACATATCTACAGTCTACATGTGTGTGTATTCTCTCTACATACAGTCTACACGTGTGTGTTAGCAGCTCTACAGTGTGTGCTCTCTACATACAGCATAAACAGAAAACAACTGCACTAGCTTTGTTTTACTAATATTATTTTGCTCGTGTCTTGTTTTGGTGGGAGTCGCTTTCTCTCTTGTCCAATCATCTCCTCTGGTGTTAGCTCCTCCTCCTCCTCGCTCTGCACAGGTGCAGATCATGGATCTATCATAAGAACTGGATAAGCCCCTGCCCCTCTGTCTCAGCTCCAGACAGACTAGTGGTCGCTCCAGGTACTGCAGCTCCTGGAGCTTAGGCCCAGAAAGAATTCTCCCTCAGAGCACAATGCATTTTGGGAATTCAAACTGCCTGTGTTCAACTGACAGGGCATCTAGCTTTCACAAAGATCAGATTTTGTAGGATTCTTTTCTATTTTCACAACATAAACTTCTTAAATTTTTAAATTGTCAAAGCTGAAAAGTGATCTTTGTAAGAGTTAGACTAGCACCGCTCTGAGCCCGCTCTAGCTCTGCTCTAGCAGCTCTCGTTGTGATTGGTCCAAACGCTTCACACTGTGCACGTTACAGACGTCACACAGGTGGGAGGACCCACTGAAAACAATATGACGTCATCTTGGGTTCACCTTCCACATTTTATTCTAGTTCTATGGTCCAGCTGTGACTCTCACACTCAGAGTGCTGCTGTTGGAGCCGCACAGGGACCACGTGTTCACACCACAACTGTTCTTTTGTTAAGGAAAAGGCTCCTGCCACTCCGGCAAAAACAGACTCCCAATGGAATTAACTAACAGAAACAAGGCTGTGGTGGCAATAGTAATAGTAGTAGTAGTAGTATTTATTTTCAGTATTGGTACCTTGTATCCTGAGCTCTTGATGTGTACTCCTCTCTTGGTGAGCGTAGACTTCATTCGGATGAAGAAGGACCTCTCCAGCGTGTTGTCTGGAGGCAGGAGGCTGGGGCTGGTCGACTCCACTAATGAAACAAAAGCAAAGACAAATAAATAAAGAAACAAATAAATACTGTACCAGGTGTGGCGGCCAGAGTGCGCCTAAAGCCTCTCACAACAACAACAGAAACAGAAGGACTAAATACAGGTGCCATGGAAAACAAATCACAAGAATAAATCAGGCCCAAAGCAGGACTAACCAGAACTTAACCAAGACTAAACCAGGATTAAACTAAAACCAAACACAGGTACCATACAAACAATAACCTAAAATCTCAAGAGTAAACCAGGACTCAACCAAGACAAAACCAGGACTAAACTGGGACTAAACCAGGACTAGGGCTAAACCAGAACCACAATCCACAGTGACGCTTTTAAACTGTTAAAAAACTATATGGGAAAATAACCGTTCATTTATAAAACGGTGTAGTAGATCCAGACACATTTAAAGTGATTAAAACTGTAATAATAGTGTCAGTCTGTCTCAGCCTTTGTCCAACTGTCAATCAAACCCGTCCAAACACGTCCAAACATGTCCAAACTCGTCAGGGAAAAGAGGAGGAGGTAATTAACGCGACACAGAGACAAATCAGTCAGGTCCTCAAAGATCTATATAAAACCAGACGAGAAATACAAACAGCAACTATGATCTAATGGAGGAGAGTAAAACTGAAGCGATGAAACTAAAATAGAATGGTAGAAGTTAGGAGTTACATTCAGTCTGTTTAAAAGTCCTATATTATGGAAAATTTACTCCTGAGAGCTTTAAGTCATGTTCCAATGTTGTTACCTGCTCAAAAACAAACCTGGAGTTGTGTTTTGTTTCATTCAGACATGTTTGAGTAACCCTTTATTATTAGTCTGTTTCCATCTCCATTCCTCGAAATGTTCCGTTCCACCTTGTGATGTCATGCAGTGGTTGTTGTTTAACTTGATAGTTAAATTTTCTTCAGAAGACTGACAATTCCAGGGCTGAAATGATCCAAATGGTTCTTGTGAAAGTGTATGGAGTTTTAAAAACACTAGAACATTTCTTGTATTACCACGTGACGTCACAAGGTGGAACATAACAGACCGGGTTTAGACCGAGTTTAGACTGGGCTTAGACCTGATTTAGGTTTAGACCAGGTTTAGACCAGGTTTAGACCAGGTTTAGACCAGGTTTAGACTGCGTTTAGATCTGATTTAGACCGGGTTTAGACAAGGTTTAGACAAGGTTTAGACCGGGTTTAGACCATGTTTAGATTGGGTTTAGACTGGGTTTAAACTTGATTTAGGTTTAGACCAGGTTTAGACTGGGTTTAGACCTGGTTTAGACCGGGTTTAAACCAGGTTTAGACTGGGTTAAGACTAGGTTTAGACCGGGTTAAGACCAGGTTTAGGCCGTGTTTAGATTGGGTTTAGACCTGATTTAGACCAGGTTTAGACCAGGTTTAAACCAGGTTTAGACCGGGTTTAGACCAGGTTTAGACCGGGTTTAGACCAGGTTTTAGACCGGTTTAAACCAGGTTTAGAAGACCAGGTTAGAGACTGAGATTTTTAGACCGGGTTTAGACAGACCAGGTTTAGACCAGGTTTAGACCAGTTTGGGTTTAGACCTGATTTAGACCGGTTTAGACCAGGTTTAAACCAGGTTTAGACTGGGTTTAGACCTTTAGACCGGTTTAGACCTGGTTTAGACCGGGTTTAGACCAAGTTTGACCAGATTGTTTTCAGTTTGAGAGAAGAACTCAGCCTAAATATGCAGGATTTGTGAGCTAAATGTGTGAATGAAACAAAACACAACAGAACATAGATTAGACCCTTTAATGTGGTCTGACTTCTTCAGTGACTTGTTGATATGGGACTAAAACAAATCAAAGGACTAAATCAGAACTAAACCAGGACCATATCAAAGCTTATACTAACTTGGTGCACTTCTAAAAAACAATATGAAAATCAAATCTTACAGAAATACCTGGAAGACTAGATTGTCTTCACAAGTAAACCACGACTATTGGCTGGACGTGAGCTTTTCTTTGACATTGCTTTTTGTTTTGGTGCGATCGTGGACGATGAATTTTGTACCTTCTTTGCCATTGTTGGTTTGTGCGACCATAAACGAAAACAAAACTGGCATCTTTAAAAACGAAGATAAGAACTAAAAAGAAAAGAAAAAATAAATAAATAAAAGTGATTGTATTTCTTTTTGACGGGTTAGTATTTGGAACAACCTGAGTGATGATTTTAAAAGTCTAACACCTTTAAAAAAAGAGTTTAAAGCGTTATGTTTTGAAAGATATAGAGCTCTGAAATGAATGAATTATGCATTAAATTTTGTAGTAAGTTGTAAGTCAAATTGCAAATGCAAACTTGCTTTTCATACACTGCTTTCTTTCTTGGAATTTTGTCATTGTTTTAGACATTATAAGACATTATAAGTACTTTTCACTTCAGCCTAAACTCTTTCGGTCACGATCCATGGGGTTGTGGTCTATGTTTTGTTTTGTTTGTTTTGTAGTACTGCAAAATGACCAAATAAAAACTACTACTGTTCCAGGGTTAGGTCTGACATATCCCAATCAGGAATAAACCAGAACTAAACCAGGACCAACCAGGCCCATCCTGAACCTAGTCTACAGTCCACAAGAACTAACCAAGTCAACATTACTCATATTAACCACAGGAATGCATTCAATGAAGCACTAAACCAGAACTTAACCAGGACTAAACTAAACCAGGACCGAACCAGGACTGAAACAGGTCTAAACCAGGTCTAAACCAGGTCTAAACCAGGTCTAAACCATCCGTCTCCACTCTGACCCTCTGTTGAAGTCCAGTGAAGTGAGCTCTGATTGATTAGATTTGAGCGGCCATCTTGTGTCTGTCAGCTCGTCCTTCAGTCGGACGTAAACAGGAAGTGCATCTGTCACTGTCACGGTAACACAGAGGGCGTGGACCAATCAGAGTGCGGCGGCTAGAGGGCAGGGACCAATCGGCGAGGAGCGTTCTGAAGGTGAGGAAGTCCATTTGTCACGGAAAAACGCTGCATTTCCAAAACACAAACATTTATCGCAGAGACAGAGGAAGAGCATCTACTAATCATAATAATGTCAACAAACAAGATGGCCGCCAGCACGACACCGTTTAAACACCCTCTAGTCTGATAAACTGTCTCTGTAACACTGATCTAATGTGAGGAAATGTTCCGCAGTGGAGCTTTAACCCTTTTCTATAGTCTGATAAACTGTCTGTGTAACTCTGTTCTGACGTGAGGAAATGTTCCGCAGTGAGGCTTTAACACTGTTCTAACACGAGGAAAGTTCCGTAGTGGGGCTTTAACCCTGTTCTAATGTGATAAAATGTTCTTCAGTGTGGCTTTAACACTGTTATAACGTGAGGAAATATTCCGCAGTGGAGCTTTAACCCTGTTCTAATGTAGTGTCCTCCTCAAAAAATATCCTTGGATTATTGGGTTTTGTTCCTGCCACTTTTTTAGTCTTTTTTTTTTTTTTTGTCTTTTGTCGTTCTCTGCACAGCTCCCGACACTCTTACACCTGGTGATGTCATCAGGTGGTGACACAGAAGCACTCCTCTGGGTTTTTAAAGTCCATTAATCTCTCCTTTTTTTCCATACACAAACATTATTTTAAGTCCAGTACATGAAGTACATGAAGTCCAGTAGTCTAAAAAGATATTTTTATTCATTTATTTTATTTATTTATTTAAAACAAGGACAGTGCACAGAAAACATTAAACTCAGAGAGAAAAGATGGTCTGATTTAGCTCTTGTCCGTCTGCTGTCCTTGACCAGGTACAAAATATATTAAGGGAACAATTTACAATTTAAAACGTCAGTATTGATCTAAAATGAGTTAACATGTTAAATCACAGAAACAGATCTATGTGTCATTTTTAATATTCTACATGTAAGGCCCACACTCAGTCACATGATGGAGCAGTGGGCGGAGCTAGGGGACAGGGGGTAGGTGGAATTTTCAGAGATGAGGGAACACTATAATGTGGCTAAAATCTAAAAGTGGAGTTTGTACAATGTGTCTCCTTTAAAAGTCTTGAAAAACAAAAGAATCTGTGATCTAATAACATCTTAAGAACCTTTACACTCAGTCTTTCTCTCCTCTCTTCTCTCTCTCTCGTCTCTCTCTCCTTTCTCTTTCCCCATCTGTCTCTACACCTCTCCCTCTCACCTCTCTCATCCATCTCTCCCTTCCTGCCCTTCTCTTTCTTCACCTGTCTCTCTCTTCTCCCTCCCTCACCCCTTCCTTACTGCTCACTCTTCAGTCGTCTGTGCAGTTTGTTCTTTTCTTTCTCCCCCTTCCTCCCTCTCTCCCTCTCTCTCTCCTCCCTCCCTTCTGTCCTCTCTTCTCTTTACCTCCCTCTCCTCCTCCCCCTTCTTCCCTCTCTCCCTCCCTCCCTTCTTCCCTCTGTCGTCCGTAGAGTTTGTTCTTTTCTTTCACTTCAAGGGCGTCGTTCCTCTAAAGCGCAGCTCATTTGCATATTAATTCCTTCTTTGGCGTTTTCAGATTAGAGCTTGTCAACACGAATCAGGCCTGATCAAAACCACTGTTCACCAGAGACTCCCCTCACCACAGGAGGGGCCACACCGGGCTTACACCGGGTTTACACCGGGTTTACACCGGGTTTACACCGGGTTTACACCGGGTTTAGACCGGGTTTACACCGGGTTTACACCGGGTTTACACCGGGTTTACACCGGGTTTACACCGGGTTTACACCGGGTTTACACCGGGTTTACACCGGGTTTACACCGGGTTTACACCGGGTTTACACCGGGTTTACACCGGGTTTACACCGGGTTTACACCGGGTTTACACCGGGTTTACACCGGGTTTACACCGGGTTTAGGGTTTACACGGGTTTAGACCGGGTTTAGACCGGGTTTAGACTTGGTTTAGACTTGGTTTAGACTTGGTTTAGACTGGGTTTAGACTCGGTTTGGACTGGGTTTAGACCAGGTTTAGACCAGATTTAGACCAGGTTCATACTTGGTTTGGGTTTAGACCAG